TCTTTCAGCTTGAGAAATGCTGAGCATGTTCTTCCTTTTGGTTTTCTCACTCCAGGTCTTTCCACATTTCATTATAATAATTGACTTTGTCTTCTTGAGCTGCTCTTTGAAATCTGTTAAGTTCTTTTATCTTGTCATTTCTCCCATTTGCTTTTGCTATTCTCTGCTCAAGGGCAAGTTTCAGAGTCTCTTCTGACATTCATTTTAGTCTTTTCTTCCTTTCCTGTCTTTTTAATGACACCTTGTTTTCCTCATTTATGATGTTCTTAATGTCATCCCACAATTCATCTGGTCCTTGAACATTGGTGTTCAGTGTATCAAATCTATTCTTCAGAGGGTCTCTAAATCCAGGTGGGATATAATCAAGGTCATATTTTGGTTCTCGTGGACTGGTTCTAATTTTTTTCAGCTTCACCTTCAAATTGCATATGAGCAATTGATGGTCTTTTCCACAGTCAGCTCCTGGCCTTGTTTTGACTGAAGATATTGAGTTTCTCCTTCACCTCTTTCCACAGATGTAGTCAATCTGATTTCTGTGTATTCCATCTGAATAACCACTGTTTGTACTGTTGAAAAATCGTATTTGCAATGAATAAGTCATTGGTCTTGCAAAATTCTATCATGTGATCTCCATCCATATTTTCCAACTACCAGTGATTTTTCTTTGTTTCCAACTTACACATTTGTTCTGGTTACCTAGTGCTGTTCTGATAGGAATATACCACAAATAGGATGGCTTGAACAAACAGGAGTTTATTCTCTTACATTTCGGGAGGCTAGAAGTCTGAGTTCAAAGTGCCAGGCTCTAGGGGCTGGATGAAAGCCCCTTGACCTTGGCCTTCAGCTCTGCCTCCAGCTCCTGGCCCACTGAAGCTAGAGGCATCTCTTCACTCAGGCAGCTACTGGCTGCTGAGACTCACAAGCCCAAGGTTGACAAATAAAATGACACAGTCCCAATGTTACCAAACCACATGGCAGGCCATTGATTCAAATCCATTGAAAGTCCCAGGATCGGCAGAGCACAGCAGACTGCTGAACAACAACTCTGCTACATGAAGAGTTCAATCATGCCATAAGCCAGAGATTGTTCCCTAAGGCTTCTCCTTATATACAGGAAGCAGACCACGTCCCTAAGGCAGCTAGTCAGCTGCTCACAGTAGATTCCACCATGGAGTTGATTACCGGTCTCATTATGGGGAATACTATATCTAGCTGTCCAGCCAAATTGACACACAAACTTACCACAGCATCCCAATCACCAATAATCATCAATAGATCTCAACTGCATGTGTGGTCAATTTCAGACTACAGAAGTTGGTAAATATCTGCCATTTCTTCAACTTTGGCTTTATTGGTTGATGTATAAATTTGAATAATAGTGGAACTAAGAGGTCTTCCTTTTGTTGTTGTTGTTATGTGCCATCGAGTCGGACCTGACTCATAGCGACCCCTCCTTGGATTTCTGAGGCAGTATCACTACAGAAGTAGATTGCCCAACCTTCCTTCCAAGGAGTGGCTGGTGGATTTGAACTGCCAGCCTTCTGATTAGCAGTCAAGTGCCTTAGGCATTACACTACCAGAGCTCCTGTCTTCCTTGTAGGCTTACAGATATTATCCTGAAGCATTGTACTTCAGGTTAGATATTGAAACATTTTTTTGTGATGATGAATGCCATGCCATTCGTCTTCAATTTGTCATTCCCAGCATAGGAGATTGTTTTATTAAAAATGGCCAGTACTAGTCCATTTCGGCTCACTAATGCATAGTGATAACAATCTTCATGTGTTTCATTTCATTTTTGACAACTTCTAATTTTCCTAGATTCATACTTGGTATGTTCCACATTCTAATTATTAATGGATTTTTGCAGCTGTTTCTTCCCATTTTGAGTCATGCCCAATCACCAAATGAAGGTCCTGAAAGCTACTTCATCCATGTCATTAAGGTCCACTCTACTCTGAGGAGGCAGCTTTTCCCCAGTTGTATATTGAGTGCCTTCTGACCTGAGGGGCACATCTTCCAGTAGTATATCAGACAATGTTTCAGGGATAGTCATACAGTTTTCCAGTAATATATCAGACAGTGTTTCACTGCTATTCTCAAGATCTTCACTGGCCAATTCTTTGAGAAGAGGATGGCCTCTCCCTTCTTCCCAGTCTATCTTAGTCTGGGAGCTCTGCTGAAACCTGTCCACCAAGGGGGACCCTGCTGGTATTTGAAATGCTAGTTACATAGCCTACAACCTCACAACAACAAGTAAGTCACCACAGTACAACAAACTGACAGATGAGTGGTGGCCCAAAGGCAGTAGTTATTAGAAAAATGCAAATCAAAACCACAGAAATATCACTTCACCCACACTGTCACAACCCACTAAACCAGTGGCAGGAGTTGCTTCTAAGGGTGGAAGTTGGATACCAGAAAAATTTAGAAAAAAAAAAAAAAAAGTTGTAAAAAGGCATGTTGACATGATCTAACTCTATTATGGAACTTGCAGGCAGAGGTCAATGATAAGATTCTTGTGATGGGGAAGCATTGAGAGCCACTCAAATAGAGGTCCATGTAGGCAGTACAGGGTATGGGTTTAGAAACTTAGTGCTTAAGTGCAAAGATATGTGCAGGGGAATCAGGAAAAAATATGTCTGATCTATGATAGAAATCAGGTTGTTTTTGTATTAGTTAATTAGTTCCAACTGGTGTTACCATGAAGTCAGGGGTTCGGTGTGCTTTCTTCTGGCCCAGGTCACTGCTCAGTAAAGTACTCAGGTTCCCTCTAAGACTCTTAAGTGGGAAGAACCCATCTTGTTTTATCCATAGTCTTCATGTCCACTAATATGGGTATGATATAAAAACAAACAAAAACAAAAAATGGAAAAGAACAGATGTTGGCAAGGATGACTCATCCATTGGTAGTGGGCCTTTAAAATGGTACAGCCATTGTGGAAAATAGTGTTGAGGTTCCTCAGAATATTAAACATAGAATTGCCATATGATCCAGAAATTCTGCTCTTAGGTATATACTCTAAAGAAAGCAGGAATGCAAACAGAAACTTTACTTCAATTTTCATTGCAGCATTATTCAATAGCCAAGTGATGGAAATGAACTAAATGTCCATCACAGATGAATGGGTAAATACATTGTGGTACATACACAATTGAATATGTTTATGAATATTTGTATTGCCAGTGTTCATATTGAGGATGTTGGGTGCCACACATAAGACAACAAAGTTGTGGTGTTAGATACCTTTCCCAGGAAAGGTGCTACCAATCTAAATGAATTTCACCTTGTAGGAGAATCTTTGAGTAGCTGAGAGATGGACCTGGAGGTTGAATTCAATGATGTAGTGTCTAAGCCATTTAATTGGTAACCAGAAGTTTTGCAGTTCAAACCCACCAGCCACTCCTTGGAAGGAAGATTGGGCAATCTACTTCCATAGTGATAGCACCTCAGAAACCCAAGGAGGGGTCGCTGTGAGTCGGATCCGAAGCAACAGCAGTGAGTTTTGCTTTTTTTATTATTATTTTCTAAATTTCTCATTGTGGAAGACTTGGATCACATGCTCAAAGACCCATTGCTCTGGTCCCAATATGATGATATAACAATGGGAAAGTATGTAGGCATTGGGAACAATTCTACCAGCTTCAGAGTATTCACCCTACAAGTCCCAACATATCTCATACAGATTTTCTGTCCCCTGAATTATAGATGTGCATACATTTCTATTACCTGTTGAGAAAGGCATGAAGTAGTCACTGTTCTTAAAGTTGCCACTCTCATCCAAAAAGTGTCCAGGGTCAAATATCTCTGGGTTAGGGAATCCTTTGCTGTCATAATGCACAGATGTCAGTGATATTAATATGTTTGTTCCCTGAAATGAACAGACACAGATCAACTGAGTTATAAAGAAATCGTGGAGAAATGTTATGTTACATATAATTTTTCAATAACAATGAATATACGAAAAAACAAATAGGGGCTACAGATTCTTACAATTCTTTGTTGTCAGGTGCACTGAGTTGGTTCCAACTCAGAGCAACCTCATGCATAACATGAAACACTGCCTGGTCCTGCGCCATCCTCACAATCTTTCCTATGCTTGAGCCCATAGTTGCAGCCACTGGGTCACTCCATCTCATTGAAGGTTTTCCCCTTTTTGGTTGGCCCTTTATTTTACCAAGCATGATAGTCTCCTCCAGGGACTGGTCTCTTCTGACAATGGCCAAAGTACAAGAGACAAAGTCTTGCCATTCTTGCTCCTAAGGAGCATCCTGGCTGTACGTCTTCCAAGACAGATTTCTTTGTTCTTCTCCCAGTCCATGGTATTTTCAATATTCTTCCCCAACACCATAATTCAAATGCATTAATTCATTAATTAATTCTTAATTCTTCCTTACTCATTTTCCATCTTTCACATGCATATCAAACTAATTAAAATACCATGGCTCAGGTCAGGGGCACCTCAGTCTTCAAAGTGATATCTTTGCTCTTTAATAGTTTAAAGAGGTCTTTTGCAGCAGATTTGCCCACTGTTTATGTCATCTGATTTCTTGACTGCTGCTTCCCTGTTGTCGATTGTGGATCCAAATAAAATGAAATCCCTGACAACTTTTACCTTTTCTCCATTTATCATGATGTTGCTGAGTGGTCCAGTTGTGAAAGTTTTTGTTTTCTTTATGTTGAGGTGTAATCCATACATTTTGATCTTGATTATTAAGTACTTCAAGTATTCTTCACATTCAGCAAACACGGTTGTGACATCTGCATATCATAGGTTGTTAATGAGTCTTCCTCCAATCCTGATCTCATATTCTTCATATAGTCCAATTTCTCAGATTATTTGCTCAGCATGCAGATTGAATAAATATGATGAAAGGATACAACCCTGACACACAATTTTCCTGATTTAAAACCATCTGGTATTCTCTTCTTCTGCTTGAACAACTGCTCTTAGTCTATGTACAGGTTCCTCATAAGCACAATTAAGTATTCTGGAATCCCCATCCTTTGCAATGTTATCCAAAATTTGTTATGATCCACATAAAAAATGCCTTTGTACACTCAATAAAACACAAGTAAACAACTTTTTTTTTATCCTTTCTTTTTAGCCAAGATCCATCTGATATCAGCAATGATATCCCTCACTCCATGTTCTCTTTTGAATCTGGCTTGAATTTCTGGAAGTTCTCTGTGCATACACTACTGCATCTCTTTTCGAATGATCTTCAGCCAAATTTTACTTGCATGTGTTAATAATAATATAGATCAATAATTTCCTAACTCTGTTGGATCACTTTTCTTAGGAATGGGCAAAAATATAGATCTTTTCCAGGTAGCTGTCTTCCAATTTTTTTTTTTTTTTTAATTAGGATTTGGGTGAAGATTTACAGAGTAAATTCACTTTTCATACAGCAGTTCACATATACTTTGTCTCATGTCATTGACCAAA